GGTAACAAGGAACAAAAGAATCATGCACCACATGAAAGCTTTTCAAATGCAATTTTGCTAAACTCTAACCTCACCTGCTTCGTTCACACAGTATGTTTTCAGAAATACAGGGCACCTGAGGCACCTCTTGCTGTTCCTGTTCCTCATTGCTCAATACATCTGCTTGACACAATACAGCTTCATTTTCACCCTTTAATTTTCAATTTAAAAAGCATGAAGAAAAAGAGAATCAAGCAAGTTTTTTTAAAACAGAAGTGTATTTTATAAAAAAAAACCCCAAAACAAAAAACTACAGATCTGTGTGCTGCTTTCCCAATCTGAATCAAGAAAAGAATCTCATTATATTTATTAAGAGTAATCTGCCTGAGCACATCATTCAATTTATAGGCAAGCGGGAACAGAAGTATTTTTAGTCCTGGGCTACCTAGAGTTAGGCTTTTAAATACTATATGCACCCAGGCATTATGGGTAACACTTTTCTATTCAGCATTCAATCAACTCTCTTACGTGGAGTACTACGGAAACAAAATACTCTGGCAAATGGAAAAACCTTTGAAAACTGGACACTGCAGAGCACACAGAGGCACACCCAAGCCACTATAACATAACCTCAGATTCAGAAGGCCTTATTAGTTTTACTTCTGTATTTGCCACACTAGTTCCACAAAGCAGCCACTCAAAACACATCCCTCAGCACTCCAGGTCTGTGACAGCTTTATTAGTACAGAGAGGCATCAGACCGGCCGTGGTTCTACAGATTTGCACAGCACAGAGCAGATGTATGTGCATACTCCACAAGCCAAAGGTCTAGAATAGCCAAAGCTGAACTGCAAGCAACTATCTCGGCTAGGGGTGAGCTGACACTGTGGCACTGAGAGGGAGGCTGTAGATGCAGTGCACCCATGCTGCTCTCTGGGAACGCAGCACACCAGTACTCCAAGCTAGCTCTACACAGGTTCAAGAACAAAACCAGCTATAACCACTCCAAAAAATGAGTCACTCTTACAAAGCTTAGCTATGTTTGAGATCTAAGGCAAGACTACACAGAGACAATTCACGCCCACATCCATGACATGATTCATGAGCAACCCACAAAACGGTTGCAGAAAGTTCATCATACTACAATGGCTTTCAAGGATTTCAATACCTTTTACAGTGCCTAGTAAAGTGTCTGTGGGGATAGACAGTGTAGGTGAATGACTAAATTTACCTATGTAAAGTAGAGGAGTGTCAGGCACTGTAGCAATAAAGCCAGTCAAAGCTTACCAAATTAATAAGACCTTATTTTTTACAGAAAAATAGCTATCTTCTGCCTTCTCTCAATACTCTATACTAGATTCGTCAACACAGACTTGATTCATCCAAACAGGAAAGATAAAATGAGAAAAAAAGCTAATTTATGTATTGCAATATAAACCACATTTTTATTCTAGAGTTTACCTTAAGTGTCCATAATCCTTTTTTCTATCATGCAATCCAATCAAAATCAGATCCTCATTTGTAGAATTCACTGATTTCATACCTGCAATACCTCAACATACCAGGGTTTTGGGGATTTTCTTCATCTAGTATGGTGTCTCAGCTTCAGGGAATGCAACTCAAATGTTCTAATTTAACTTCATAAAATAGAACTTGCAACTTGGAACCATACTTTTGAAGTTAAAACACTTATTAGACTTACCATGACAGTATTGGCAGACTCATCTTTTTGCAATACTAACTGCTCTGCTTCAGGCTGTTTCTCCCTCTCATTTTCTGATATTTGTAATTCCTTCTTTCCAATAGCTCTTCCCAAGTTTGGCTTGTACCTCTGGAATCTGCTCCGCACTAACTGGACAGGCTGAAGAGGTGTTTGTTTACTTTCTTCTTCAGTGGTATTTTTGCTATCAATGCTAAGTCAGACAAGGGAAAAAAAAAAAGCTTTTGTATTAAGTTTCGGATATCATTAACAAACACAGGTTCACTATATTTACATATAAAAAACAGCTGAGTTTTTAAAAGAAGCGATGTAAACATAAAGTTCTGCTGAGTTTAAGTTACAAACACAAAATTTTGTTTCAGCAAAAATTGCAAAGCACTGGTCTCCTAACTACTTCCACAACAGAATTAGCTAACTCACTGGAGGCATTAACTTACTGTCTGCTTATTACTATAAAACCAAAGCAGTTTTCACACAGTTTCTCCAATAAACAAACTAGTATTCCTCTGCTTAAATGAAATGAATCTAGTGTTTCAGGTGATGAAACAGTTGTAAAATAATGCTCATTAATTTAATGCTTAGCATAGAAGTAACCGGAATTTTAGTATAACTAGTGTCAAAACTATGACAACTGAGATTTCGTTCAGTATTCTTGTTAGATTTTCTTTGCCAGTTAGCAATCCATTGACACAATGATTTCCTTTTAAAATACCTTCATTGCTACAGTCAAGAAACAAAAGTAGCTAAGCCCTTACTCTGCATTAGTACTTGAGGTGTCATCTTGGTTAATTTCAGGTAGACAAAACTTGAGTTCACCATCCTCTGATCTTGAAAGTGTCTTTGGGGACTCACAGCTCCGCCTCTCAGAAACCTCCTGAGAGCCAAATGACTTCCTCTTTCCTAAGGATTCCAGTGGTTGCAGGACTTCATATTTTCCTGCCTTCTGAAAAATGTAAACACCAGAACCAGAAAAAGTCATGATACTAAACCAAAAGGAGACATTATGATGTCCATGAAGTTTGGTACTAATCACCCTCCTAAGTGTTTCCTGCAAAAAACCCTCTGTTAACTCCTTACTAACAATTTCCCAGTCTTCCCAGGACAAACACACATTTGTTTCTTTTAAACAAAATAGCTTGAAATCTAGATTTCTTCTTTGCCATCTTCGATTAATACTTTTCTTTCTCCACTGTCAGCTCTACAAGGTCTCCTCAGGTCAGAAAGACATCTGGACGCATAACAGGAGATACAGAATGGATGTAATCTGTTTCTCCGCACAACAACCAAGTAGAAAGTACAGGAGTTTTCACGTAGAAAAATATAGCTTTTGAAAAATTTGTTTCAAAAAAGATTAACTTATATTTTTTAAATAACCAGTACTTCATTTCACAAATCCAAAAGCTAAAATATAACTAAAGAAGAAAAAAAAAAAAGCCTTACATCTGTATCAGGAAGGATGCTACCTTCACTGTCACACTGTGTCAAACTCTCTGCCTTGTTGGTATCTTTCTGTGATACACCTTTATTATTTACATCCAGCACCTCCCTTCTACCAGTTGTCGTTCTTAAATTTGGCTTTGGTCTCTGGAATCGACTCCTCAGTGGCCGAGCTGATGATACAACAGCTTTCTCATCTTCCTTCCGAGGACCAGATTCCCTACAAAAACAAACAAAAGAACAATCAAAAGCATGGGACAACAGTGGTTCTCCAAGTTACACATGACATACTTACTTGTATGTAGCTCTCTTCAATACAGTAGCCAAGTATAAAAACTTAGCTTTCTTAGAGCAATAACAAAGTTACTGACATTGTGAAAAAAGATCCAATAAAAGCACATTGGACATCACCAAAACTTTGTGTATCTTATAAACAGATGAGCAAAGGTAAGTTAGAAAAACACATCATTTCAGAACAACTGCAACTTCCAGTTGCACTTTAAGAGGAATACAAACATTTTACAAATGCCTTTCTTTGCCTAATCATGTTTAAAATTACCCAGCAGATTTACAGCACAGTTGTCTTTTTTTTTTAAAGGACATTTTAATAGGAAACCAAACCCTATACTCAAGGATTTACATAAGAACATAGGGATGCACTGTTAGGACCAACATGGAGAAGATAACCAGAAGAACCGAGCATCAGAAAGACATTTGTTTGAAAACTGGGCTCACAGTCTAAAGATCAAATTAACATCCAACAGCATATAACCTCAGTGCTTTTGAGCTCTTGGGGTTTTGTTTGTTTGTTTAAGTCTATGTCCTGGTTTTGGCTGGGACAGAGTTAATTTTCTTCCTAGTAGCTGGTACAGTGCTGTGTTCTGGATTTAGGATGAGAATAATGTGATAACACATGGATGTTTTAGTATAAACACTGCTTAGCAACAACTAAGTCAAGGACTTTTCAGCTTCCCATACTCTGCCAGTGAGGAGGTGCACAAGAAGCTGGGAGGGAGCATAGCCAGGACAGCTGACCCAAACTGGCCACAGGGATATTCTGTACCATATGACGTCATCCTCAGTATATAAGCTGGGGGGAGTTGGCCAGGGTGTAGTGACTGCTGCTCGGGCACTGGCTGGGCATCGGTCGGCAGGTAGTGAGCAATTGCATTGTGCATTGCTTGCTTTGTATATTCTTCTATTATTATTATTATTACTACTACTATTTTACTTTATTTCAATTATTAAACTGTCTTTATCTCAACCCATGAGTTTTCTCACTTTTACTCTTCCAATTCTCTCCCCCATCCCACCAGGGCAGGGGGAGTAAGCGAGCTATACTATAATACTATAGGTATTATATATACACTATAATACTATAGGTATAAAACTTGGTTTTAATGCTGGAGTTGAATGTAAAAGTGTAGAATACCTAGAGATACTGCTGGTTTTGAACCATCCCTTCTCTCCATTTAAATAACCTTACCCTGTATTGAAATCTGAAACCTGTTTCAAGACATCTGACAACCCCTTTTCACTTTCATAGCTTTCTGCTTCTGAGGACTTTTCGTGGGACCACTGCCTTATATGTATTGAGTTCATCTCAGAATCTGTAGAAATGTCCCCTTCTAACATCACATTGCATGGCTGAGCGTCTTCATGAACCGTCACATCCTAAAAGAAATAGAAGTTTCACTCTATTAAGATGAAATATTTGCTGGACCTCTCTTATAGAAGAGCAGGGGAAAATAAAAAGTTTATTTCAGTATCTTTTACAAAAACACTCAAAAAGATCTCTCGTTTCCTGTGCATCCAACTAATATCAGTAGATACTTTAAAAGTAAAAATTTGTTATTTTTCTATATACTTTCTATCTGAAGTGGTCTCTTTTCCAAGAGACCTTTTTTCTCTGCATTTCTCTTTTCAGATCTGGTAGCACAAATAACCCAACAAAGTGAGATATAATCCATCTATCCATGGAAAACAGAATCCAAGTGCAAGCATGAGAAAATCCTATGACAAATCAGTTCATTCTAAAAGAATAAACAAAGCATGCAAAGGCTATGCTTAAAAATTACGTGGTACGTACCTAGATCTTTTTTACTAAAAGCTTCTACTTAGGCCCCAGCAAAACAGTGTGCCTAAGCAACCGCTCGAGAAACTTACGTTTTTGAGGCATGGATCATTGTTTTCATCCCTATGGGGTATAACAGCTTTTTCTACTTCTCCACCTTCAGTCTTCTCCTCTTCAGGAACTTTTTCATCTGTCAAGTCTTTTTGCCTTGCAACAGTTCTTCCTAGATTTGGTTTTGGTCTCTGCACTCTGCCTCTCTTCAGAGGTGTTGGTTTCAGCACACTCTGTTTGCTGTCTTCTTGGAAAGCAGCTGTTTCATTAGACCTGAAAAAATACATAAGATCCATAAGTACATAACACATCTGAAAGAAGGAGGAGTCTTGGAGAAGTGATACTTTTTTCTTTTCTTTTTTAAACAGTTATTGACGTACACTTATCTAAAATGGAGCTATGCATTACTAACTTCATGAAACAATAAAGTTAGAAGTTTATCTGCTAGAGACTGAAAAAGTACCTGACAAGTTTAAACTTATGTTTGCCCTGTTCTTTTTCTTTTCCCACTGGAGACAGGATACCACACTAGACAGACCTTTTTCTGACCCATAAGGGCTCTTCTTGTATTCCTATCTGGTCTAGAGGCAGATGGACCTAATTTAATGAAGGGTTAAAAGTCATAAACATTCAGAAAATACATGAATAACTTCATAATCTTACTAACGTAAAAATATCAGATGCACATTATTACAACTGTCAGATACTTCTATGCCTTTTTACCCTGAGCACCAAGTTACATAGCATGTTAATGAAAGAAATAAATGTTAAAGTATTTTTCTGCCACATTATCAAACCCAGTTTACCTCACAGAATCATAGAATCATTAAGGTTGGAAGAGACCTCTAAGATCATCGAGTCCAACTGTCAACCCAACAACACCATGCCCACTAAACCATGTCCCTAAGCGCCTCATCTACCTGTTTTTTAAATACTTCCAGGGATGGTGACTCAACCACTTCCCTGGGCAGCCTGGTCCAATGTTTAACTACTCTTTCAGTAAAGAAATTTTTCCTTACATCCAATCTAAACGTCCCCTGGCGCAACTTGAGGCCATTTCCTCTCGTCCTTTCGCCAGTTACTTGGGAGAAGAGACCAACACCCACCTCACTACAGCCTCCTTTCAGGTAGTTGTAGAGAGCAATGAGGTCTCCCCTCAGCCTCCTTTTCTCCAGGCTAAACTACCCCAGCTCCCTCAGCCGCTCCTCATAAGACTGGTTCTCCAGACCCCTCACCAGCCTCGGTGCCCTTCTCTGGACACGCTCCAGCACCTCAACGTCCTTCTTGTAGTGAGGGGCCCAAAACTGAACACAGTATTCGAGGTGCGGCCTCACCAGTGCCGAGTACAGGGGCACGATCACTTCCCTGCTCCTGCTGGCCACACTATTGCTGATACAGGCCAGGATGCCATTGGCCTTCTTGGCCACCTGGGCACACTGCCGGCTCATGTTCAGCCAGCTGTCGACCAACACCCCCAGGTCCTTTTCCGCCAGGCAGCTTTCCAGCCACTCTTCCCCAAGCCTGTAGCGCTGCATGGGGTTGTTGTGGCCGAAGTGCAGGACCCGGCACTTGGCCTTGTTGAATCTCAAAGAATAAACCTCCTTCCATCCTCCTCAACCATCCCCCCTTAAAAACAAAAGTTTGGGGTTTTTTTGGTTGCTGTTGTTGCTTTGGTTTTGGTTTTTTGTTTTTTGTTTTTTTTTCTTTTTTGGTGGGGGTGGCTTTTTTGTTGTTGAGTTTTGTTTTTTTCGTTCTTTTTTTTTTTTCTTCAATAATCTCTCCTGTAAAACACATTCCTCGTCTCACACTACAGCTGCCATTTCTCCACTGAAGAGAAATACAAGAAACACTTCTTAATTAACATGTGCATTAAATTGCCCACACGTTGGAATTTTTTCCCCTAATACCAGACACCAAACACTTAACTACACTTTAAGAACAAACACTTTTTCCTATTGTTTAAATACTTTACACTTTCCACCACTGAAACAGATGCATTTCAGTATTAAAGCTAGTGGAGAAGGCTTGTTTGAGTTTTCAAGGGACTAACTTTTCAGGGTTTTTTTGCATTTATCATGACTGACATCTCATTTAAAAGCACTCCTTTAAAAACAAAAGCGTTTAATCTATTTGTTTCACGTGTTAAAAAAACATTCCTATTCTTCCCTTAATTTCTGTCTCATTGCAGAAGTTTCTTCAGAAACATCTATAATTACCACACTATGTAATACTACCAGAAGTGAGAGAGATGGCAAATTGCTGGAGAGCAGCACATGTCTTCTCATTTTTCATATACTTACTGAGACACTGTCTCCAGGACTTTATCATCTTTTTCTGCAGCTTCTTCACTGGTAGCATCAGACCTATTGCTTTGATCAGTATTCTGAATAGAAATAGAACATCAAGACATTAAGTCTCTTACATTTATAAAGTACAGCATTACCTAACAGACCAGGTAACTGTCCATTACAGGATAAAAAATGGATTGCTTATAACAGACACAGGCAATTACAGGGTACCTTTCACAGAGTCAGAAAGGTGCAGTAAAATCTAGATCAAACAACTAAAGCTGTATTCACTGCAGGACATGAAATATTATTGGCATCTACTGTTTGTGTGACAAGCTCCCAGCTTAGCTGAGGCCTCTAAGCAATATCACACTGTCACTGCAGGTTAAATAAGTGGTTGATTCCTGGTCGTAACTCAGGGGAAAAAAAGAAAAGGGGGGGAAAAAAAAAGAAAAGAAAAAGATAATGTTGCTGTTGCACCCAGCAGCTTTTTAGCTAGCACATTATCTCCAGTTACCTTACTCTATTAAATACCTTTTCGGTTTCTCCCTTAGGCTGTGGATGGGACATTTTATCATTTCCTGCATCTTTTCCAGGCTCTTCTTTCCTTCCAGATGCTCTTGCAACATTAGGCTTAAATCTCTGTCGACATCCTCTAACTATTGCCTTTGCAATTACAGTTTTTTCAGGTTTTCTGCACAAAGTATCCACAACAGTAACATTTACTCCATAATATTCAAGCCTATGTAATATTCAATGACTTGCACAGCTTTCTTTACTGGAATTGAGTTGTCTTTGGAGGGATTTGCACAAACTTATGCAAGTTTCTTCACATGAGAACCTAACTTTGTTTAGTCTTACAGAGTGTGGAAACTCAATTTATCTACCTATGTAAAAGATACGAAGTTATCACTCAGGGGAGGAACCTAACTAGACTGCATACCATAGCTGCTTCTGCAGGTGTCAGAAGCAGAACCATTAGCTGTCAACTGAGGGTGGGAAGAAGGCGAAGCCATAGTTATCACTTCCCTCCCTTCCCCCTCCCGAATTCCAAGCACAGATGGTACTTCATAAAGTAATGCTTTCCTCAATTTCCCAGAAAAGAAGTATGTACCTTCTACCATAGTACTACTTGATATCATCCAAGAAAACGCCAAAGTCAAATTTAAGATTTATATTAAAACTTCACAATTACTGTTGTCTTTTTATAACAGCACTATATAGAATAAATTAACAATTATAGTCAGTTAATTCCAGGAGACTGGAAAAGTGATGTCAATACTTACTCAGATTTAGCATCCAAATACTTGTTCTCCACTTCCGTGGCTTCATTTCTGTTTCTTCTACTGTCTTCCTCAGAGCACTGGAATTGAGGCAACGAATATTACTCTTGGACAAGTGCACAAATACCTCAGAGGTAGTTCTCAGAATACTACTTATTAGACTGTAGCTGGTCCACAGTATCAGCATGGGTCAAAACAGATACAGCATCAAGAGCATAGCATATTAAGCAACATTCCTCCTTCTGACCTTCTCATCTGTATTCACAAGGTTTGGAGAGGAAGTCTTGGCCTCCATTTTTTCTTGGGTTGCTGCTTCTCTCCTTCCAGATGATCCTACTGAATTGGGTTTAGGTCTTTGCAAATGCCCTCTGTCTGCTGGCTTCTCAGTTTTCCTTAAGATATAAAAAGAGGTGGTATATGTTATTACCAAAGAGAAACTTAAAGTCTTATATAGTCCAAGATGTACTTCAAGAGCACCAGAGACTGCATGGGTAATGCAGCAAGACGATAAACTGAAAAAAATTATATTACCACTTTCTGATATTAGAAGATATGCTACTAATTAATGCAAAGAATGTCAAATGAACCTTAACAACTTTGCTGGCTTTCAGTGGAATCTACTTAAAAATATCTGAAGGAAGTGCTTCTTGCTGTTAAATAAATAGGAACACCTCTTCTCCTAGGGATTCCCAATTGATGTCAGTGTAAACTGTGAATAGATTTCAATAGAAACAACAGAAATCTGCTCCAAAGTAGAGCAGATTTTCTTTATGTACAAAATTTTGCATCTGCCTTTCCTGTCCCTCCATCCCCTTTCACAGCTATCCCACTCACACAATTATGAACTGCTGTTTTCAAACACCTTGTCCTACTGCCAACATCCATACATATTTGAAGAATGGGGTACATACATCAATCTCTGTGTCCTTAATCATTGCAATGCAGTGTCGTGGAATTCACACACTGTTTGGCAGAGCCCTACAGCTTATCAATAATCTTCAGATTGGGAACTACTAGCTTTTCTTATATTCTTCCTAGGACAGGACAAATAAAGCTTTGATGGTCTTTACCATAAAAGTGAGCTGTCCTTCAATAAGGCAAAGATAGAAGCATGAAAAACAATCTAACATTAACTAGTAGCCCATCTCTAAATCACCTTTAAAAAATTGTATCATGGAATAGGAAGTTGCTGATCACACAAAAATGGGATCTTTAGGCACAGACTTGTTTAAACACCACTGCTCAGTTACAGCAATAAATGTAAGAAATAGTGAAAGATTAACTTCATAAAGGAGCACAGGTAAGACAGAGACAGCTTGGAGTATCTTCTAGAGAGGTGCGTCTCAACTTAGACTCTTGCACTGAGTTGCAAAGAGCAACAGTTTCCAGTTAGGAAGGTATGAATACACCATACACATGATGTGTGCAGCTAATAAGCACTGATGGACAACTGTGAATTTCAAATCATACAGTGAGGCCCTTTTATAAAAAAAAATTAATAAAAAAAAAAATCAACTCTCTCAACCAAGGTTCACTCACAAAATGGCAGAACTTCTTCAGAGAAATCTCTTGTTCTTGCTAACTGTAGAGCAGCTAGCTTTTTTCTAAGCTTGGTTAAGTCTTCCTCTTTGTACCCATGTAACATTTTAAATCTTAGTCACAGCATTACTCCTCAGTGATCAAAATTTCTATCACAAACTTCACTGAATATGGAAAAAAGTTACATGATCTATCGTCTAGTCCAACCTACTATGGTCAATCAAAATTATATCCAAAACAAGTAAATCCAGGCTTAGCTTAAGTACTACTGCAAGGTAAAATAATTCTACTTACATGATCTCAGACTGAGAATCACTTTCTGATGCACTCTGCTTTTCATCTGGTCTAAGTAAGTCATGTATGTCTTTGTTCTGAGTAAGAAAAAAAAGTTGTAGAAATGAAACGATAAATGTAGAACTCTTTGCTTTAATGTAAATAAAAGCAGAAACAAGAACAAGATTCACAGAACGGTTGAGGTTGGAAGGGACCTCTGGAGGTCATCTGGTCCAACCCCCTGCTCAAGCAGGGCCACCTAGAACGGGTTGCCCAGTACCATGTCCAGACAGCTTTGGACTATTGCCAAGGAGGGAGACTCCACAGTCTCTCTGGGTAACCTGTGCCAGTGCTCGGTTACCCTCACAGTGAAATAGTATTCCCTGATGTTCAGAAGGGAACCTCTTGTGTTCCATTTTGTGCCTGTTGCCTCTTGTCCTGCCACTGGGCACCACTGGAAAGAGCCTGGCTCCGTCCTCTTTGCACCCTCCTTTTAGGTTTTTATATAGGTATTGAAGAGATCCCCCAGAGCCTTCTCTTTCTGCAGGCTGAACTGTCCCTGCTCTTCTTAGCCTTTCATCATAGGAGAGACGCTTCATCATCTTCATGGCCTTTTGACAGGCTATCTCCAGTATGTCCTCATCTCTCATACCGGGGAGCCCAGAACTGGTCACAGTACTCCAGGTGTGGCCTCACCAGGGCTGAATAGGTCATAGGCTTGCCAAGCTGGTGAAAAGGGCTTTGAACTAGAGATGCTGGGGGAGGGGAACCTCAATCCATCCCACTCCTGCTGGTTTGATGCCAGGGCCAGCAATAGATGCCCAGAGCCTGAAGGAGGAACACAGGTCAGCAGGAGCGTGCCTGAAGGGCAGCACAAAGGAACTCCAGCCAGTAAGCCAGCTTCATCGGGGGACCAACTTCAATGCCTCTATGCAAACGCACGTAGCATGGGGAATAAACAAGAGGAGTTAGAGACGTGCGCACGCCTGCAGGGCTACAACCTTACTGGCATCATGGAGATGTGGTGGGATGGCTCCTATGACTGGGGTGTTGGGATAGAGGGATACAGGCTCTTTAGGAAGGACAGGCAGGGGAGACAAGGAGGCGGTGTTGCCCTCTATGTCAATGACCAGCTGGAGTGCATGGAGCTCTGCCTGGGGATGGATGAAGAGCTGACTAAGAGCTTATGGGTCAGAATTAAAGGGAAGGCAGGGATAGGTGACATTATGGTGGGGGTCTGCTACAGGCCACCTGACCAGGAAGACCACGCAGATGAGGCCCTCTACAGACAGATAGAAGCAGCCTCACGCTCACAAGCCCTCGTCCTCATGGGCGACTTCAACCACCCCGACATCTGTTGGAGGGACAACACAGCAGGGCATAAGCAATCCAGGAGGTTCCTGGAATGCATTGATGATAACTTCCTTCTCCAAGTGGTAGAGGAGCCAACAAGGAGAGGTACTATGCTGGACCTTGTTCTCACCAGCAAGGAGGGGCTTGGTCAAGGCTCAAGGGCAACTGGGCTGCAGCTGCCCACTGCTCAAGGGCAGCCTGGGCTGCAGTGACCACAAAATGGTGGAGTTCAAGATCCTTAGGGCTCCCAGGAGGATGCACAGCAAGCTCACTACCCTGGACTTCAGGAGAGCAGACTTTGGCCTCTTCAGGGACCTGCTTGGTAGAGTGCCATGGGACAAAGCCCTGGAGGGAAGAGGGGCCCAAGAAAGCTGGGTAATTATTCAAGGATCACCTCCTCCAAGCTCAGGAGCGATGCACCCCAACAAAGAGGAAGTCAGGCAAAAATGCCAGGAGGCCTGCATGGATGAACAAGGAGCTCCTGGACAAACTCAAACACAAAAAGGAAGCCTGCAGAGGGTGGAAGCAAGG